GCCGCTAAAAATTTATCTAACTATTCCGGGTATTATTTTTCTTTAAAACGTAAAACAATTGCTGTCACGTTTCATCAAAATTATTGATTATTTCTTCTTTCAAATCCTTAAAGCTTGGTGTGCTGGAACCGCCTACGGTATAGATTTATCTGATTTGATCGATCAGATTCCAGTACCTACTTTCGCTCTAAGATATATATATATATATATATATATATCTTAGAGCGAAAGTAGGTACTGGAATCTGATCGATCAAATCAGATAAATCTATACCGTAGGCGGTTCCAGCACACCAAGCTTTAAGGATTTGAAAGAAGAAATAATCAATAATTTTGATGAAACGTGACAGCAATTGTTTTACGTTTTAAAGAAAAATAATACCCGGAATAGTTAGATAAATTTTTAGCGGCGTATAAAAATATTATGATGTATCTAAACTTTAACATATATGTGAGAGATATACTTATATAAAATTGATATTATATTTAATAATATATATATATTTTTTTTTAGTTTGCATCTCATGTTTTAAAAATATGTAGATGTGTAATTGTATTTACTTCGCACAGCCGCGCCCAGATTTATACAGAATTAATATCAACAGCCTTATCAAGCGTCAACTCTGCCAATGTACATAATCAATTTATTACATACCAACGTCATAAATTTTCACCAAAGTAGCATTAAATCTTCTTTCAAAATCCCTGCGTAACTTCATCAATTTCGAGAGCGAGACGCTTCGTTCAAACGAGTCTTAACGCTACGCGAGCATTTACAAATCAATATTTGACACAAAATTATTCCTCGATTCGTCGTATTGTGCACCATAATGTTGCATTTAAAATAGTGGAGCTAAGCATAGCGTCTTTCTAGGCTTCAAATATAAATGTCAAGGCCTAAATACGGCGAGGGGTCGATCACCAACCGAGTTGCAGAGTCACCGCGCTCTCATAATTCAAAATTCTAGACGACTCCAGTCATCCGAAGTCATGTGCCCAAAGTGGGATCCTGCGCTCGACTCCCGCTGATAATTTATGAGGTACAACCCCCGTCAAAGTTAGCTGTTCAATTTTTGAACGGGCGTGTGGTCATGTGTAATATCGGAAAGATTATATCGTGTCCGTCCGCGCGAAAGTTACTGACTAAGAAAATATCGATCCTTAAGTAATACATCTTGC